CAGTTCTTTGGGTTTAAGTCTGGAGATGCTGGGAAGCTCTAAGTCTGCACAGCATATGAATCCTGTGCTGTTCCCTCATGCAGTGCTTTCACTCAGAAATTGATTCCCATTGCTTCCTCTTCAGTGGTGGCAAAAGCAAAATTCCCCAAACTCTCTTTTTTGCTTGCTTCTTCCTTGCCCAGTTGTATTTTATCTTGAACTTCTCGTGAGCTTGCGCGCCCTATGTGTGAGCTGAATGAGCTGGGCTATATCTACAACTGAACAGAGGTCACGAGCAGAGGGCAAAAAAGAGGTAGTCTGAGAATTTGTAGGTGTCATCAGCGGGATTACATGTGGAAAGGACTTGGTGTAGCGCCTTCTGTCTGTTGTTACAGAAAACACTGCTAAAGGTTCAGGGGATAGGAGCCACAAGCATCAGAGGTTCTTACAGACTGCCCACGTGGGTATTTGTGCTTGTCTGTTATGCAGTCTTGATTCTGCCTATCTGGGCCTCTTTTCCTGCCCATTTATTGCCACTGTTTCCAGCTCCTTGCCTTCTTTTGTTTCCCAGTTAATCATAATGTAATTAATTACCCTAAATTTTGTGCACATGCTGTAGTATGTAGGAAATCCACAGTTTGTCATTCATGAGGTACTAACTCTAACTTGGCTGTGCAGCTCCGGGGCCTGGGCTTTCTGTGCAGCCAGCAGAGAAGGCTGTAGGCTCCTAGCTTGGGCATTCAGTAACACACTCTGGAGACTGTATCTATTGCCTCTCTGAGCATTGGCTCCTAATTTAGGCACCCAAGTTAACACAAGTTGATGAGCCCTTTCCCTTACTGTGTACCTACTCTTTGATTCTTCTCGCTCCCGGGCAGTGGGAAAGGCAGGAGCTGTAGTCAGCACTCAATGAATCACTTTATTCCTCTGATAATGATTTCTCCCATCTAGAAAGAAATGATGCATTTCCCTGCTTTCTGCCATTTATAGAGAAGTGTCTGCCTACATTTTTTTTCCCTCAGCCTTACTTTTCACTCCTTTCTCAGCATGAGACAGGCTTGCTGAGGCTCCCTCTGCTTCCCATTTGCCACATGTGAGAGGCTGAGCAGAGGAAAGTTGTGTGCTGCCTCAGGACTCGGTGGGGCTGACTCGCAGGGCACCACGGAGTGAGGATTTGCAACTGCCGGAGGAAACTCATTGATGCTTAAGCTCAAGGCACTGCATTCCTCAGGACTTTTCCAAAGATCACTGGTTATTTTATCTTCTTCTTTTTTTTCCCTTGCCTTATGGACCAGTCATTAAATTGCCTGTGAGATCTTCTGAAGATAAATGTCGTGTAGATAAATGTCCTGTGTTAACTCAGCAGTTCGGTACGTAGAATTTAAGAGAATGGGAAACGTGGAAAAAAATGCTTATAAAGGGGAGTGATCTGGAGGCAGGGATGGTGATTAGAGGCAGTATTTGCCAAAGACTTGCTATTTCATGTGGCCATATGCATTCTGTGTGTCTGATTCAGCTTCCTTTGAAGTCAGTGATAGTCTGCTGTTGTCTTGTGTGGCAGTTGGATCAGCCTCATTAAGACAGGCCTGGCCTCTATGCTGCATGATGTTTCCTCTTTTGGCTTCCAATAGAGACATCCATATGGAAGGAACAAGGATGTTTCCTTGCTCTTTCATTGTAAATGTGTTTTCCTTTTGCATCAAATCCAAACGAATGCAAAAGCACCGCAGCTCGCAGATTGTGAACATTCCTTGCCTGGGTCTTGGGACTAAAGAACTGATGGTGTTCAGGAGAAATGCGGAGATCAAAGCTGCAAACTTCTGAGCCAGCCCAGCTATATGGAAACTTTCCTCTTTTTTTGTGCTGCCACCACAGCCCTTCCCCAAAGCCTCCCTCCAGTGCAGGTCCTACGTCTGCTGGGGGTTATCAGCTCCCAGGTCCTTCTCCCATGAAAAGGAGTTACAGTGCAGAGTCATAGGGTTAAATGCTGCTACTCTTAAGGAGGTTAAGGGTACCCTCATACACCTTTTTGGCTTGCTTGCTGCCTTGAGTTTCTTGTCACTTGTCCTTCCCACTCTTGGCACACAGAAACCATGCTGCTGGGCTGCCTAGTGCTCTTTTCACATATCTGGTCTTTTGGTCCTGTGCACCAGGGAGAGCAGATATTCTAAAAAATGGTGGTTGTTTAAGGTTTCAAAATTACTGGGTTCAAATGCCAAATCAGCAAAACCAGGTTTTTTCAGATTGATTAGACTGTTTCATTATCAGAGGTTTGGTCAGAGTGCTTATTCTTTTAAAAAAGAGAAAAGAATAGCTGAAATGTATTTGATCTCAAGGCATCATTTAAAAATGATTTTAAAAACCCCTGAAATAATTTGACTTTTAAGCAAGTTAGAAGAATAAAAGAAGTGTTCTAGAACAGCAAGCCAGTCATCTGAAGAAACTCTCAGCACTAGCGCAAGGGTTAAAATCCCTGTTGTGTCTCCACTGACCTCCACATTACACTGAAGAGGAATTTGGCCCGAGCTTGCTTTTGGTAGAGAATCTGAGTCAGAAAAGCAGCCTCTGCTCATGGTTCCTTGCGTTTCCCTCTCCTCTCATCCAAGACTTTTCTGGGCCTGTTTCTGTACTTAGTGTTTCAGTTCAACATTAGTAATGTTGAGTTTATCTGGGTTCAAGCAATTCTGTTTTACGTTGTGTCTTGGAAGGAGAATCACCCTAAAACATTTAAATATTTTACATTTTAAAAAAGGTTTCTTTTCAACTGATGAGCTTGTTTCTTCTCAGGAGTTTGGATACTATGCAGACTAACGTAATAACATTTGTTTTCACAAGGAAGCGTATGTGTAAGCGCTGCCTAATGTAGCCGGGTATTTTGAAATCTGTTAATCCATTCTAGAATGCCTGCTTGACCTGTACTTGGCTTGGGCTTACAAGAAATTTTATTATGCTAGTACAGTCCAATTAGCTGTGAGTAACTAACAGCATTTTGCAAAGTTGATGATTTATTGTTGTTGTCATTATCATATCTAGAGCTCTAGAGTTTACAAGTAACAGAATTAGTTTGCAATACCTATTTATTTTTCTTCCTGCAGAAGGAATCAATCGATTCCATAGTGCTCCCAGAACATTTGTAGCTTTAAATTTTCGTAGGAATATTTGTTGCTTAAGATTTATCCTGTTCATTGAATTGAACAAAACGTCTTTCTTCCACGTACCTCATGCACCTGAATGTGTGCTTTCCATGCAGCACGTAGATTGACTGTGATGATAGAGTCAGATTCCCTCTGGATGAAATAATAAGCTGTGATTGCCAGTTCTAACATTCTTCAAAAGCAGCAGTTATTCAGACTTCTAATTAAAACAAAGCTAAAACATTTGCTCTTGTGTTTATATTTAACTACTGAAGCAAAACTGTATTTTACTTCACATTTTTGCTACACTTCTGTTGTGAATATGTGAACTTGCTGAGCAAAAGCCCATGTTGCTATAACGATGAATCAAGGAGTCTCGTGCTTCTAGGCTTAAAAATAAAGTATAAAGCACAAACTGCTTTTCTTTTTTTTTGTACAACGAGGAAACGTAACCTTCTGCCTAGAACTAAAAACCTGGTAGTCAAACAAACTGGGTACTAATCCAGGCATTGCTCTCATTGAAAATAGCTGTGTCTCAACTGTCATCTCTGTAAAAGGGGTGGCTATTTTCTGAAACAGTGTGAGTAATAAACCATACTACAGCTTTTAAACCATGCTATAGCTCAATTATTAATTGATACAGTAGGTAGTAAAATCTGAATTTCTTACATTTAATTGCTTGTATTGCAATATATATTGTACTAATACAATGAGTTTGAGAGTCATCTTTAAATATAAGCCAAAAGCAAGCTGGTTGAAAAGCTTTGAACTTCCTATATGTTTCAAGTTTCTTCAAATTCAAGTCTTGAATTTGAGTAGATCACTTTCTGGGGGATGATTTTCTGTGTAAGATGGTTGGAAAACAGGAAGAACCCTGTGTTTGAAAAACCTGAAGTTCTAAACCAGTTGCTGACTATGAAGTATTTGAAGAAATGGATGTAAACTGCTCATTTTACTGGCGGCACTCATTCATCTCCATGCTTCTTAGGTTGATGAGAGGTTTAGTGAGTTCCGAAGTTTTGAGAAAATGATGGGTTATTCCACTGGTCCTTAGGCTGCTGAAGGGCATTGGATCTCACTTAAATCTGGACTATAACTTTTGGTTCTGGTTTTCAACTGCTGAAAAGTCAATGGTTGCATTCTGCTTTGATGTAGTTTTCATTTATGTTAGATTTAGTGATCAACTGTTCAAGCATTTATTTATTACTGGCAGGATGAGTTTCTTTCTGGGAGACATTAACTTTACAGAAATTGAAAAGAATAGCTGCTTAATTAGAAAGCGTGATGTGTTTTAAAGAGCATTTTGAGGAGGCAGTATGAGGATGCGTTATGTTTTGCATTTTCCAGTCTTCTCTCTTGGCACTGCTGAGTTGGAGTGTTTATTCTTTCTTTGCCTTCTCTTGGGGGAAGAGAAGAACGAAGGTAGCATCAAATAAAAGTTGTCTTATTGTGTGTAAGGGTAGTATGTCGAGAACAGTTATTTATTGCTATGCATTTCACCCTGTGAGTGGCTGCTATAGGTTTATAAAAATCTACTGATACACTTTAAAGTATGTGCCTTAGCTTTTATACATCAATAAATTTTCCACAGCTGTGGATGGTCAGAAGCACGTCTTGTGAAATCTTTGCATTTTATTTAAAAAAAAAAAAGGCAGTAAAAAAAATCCAAAGAAATTTGTTGACCTCATAGCCAAGTTCTCCTCCAAATACTTCCAGCTGCAGCTAGAAGGATGAGTCATGCTGAAAGCCGAGGAGCTTTTCTAAAAGCCTTTCACTTGGTTCACATGATTTCTTTTCTTTTTTAACTTTACATTCTTGTCTGTTTTTCTTTTCTTAAAAAAAAAACAAAAACAAAACCCAAACCCAAACCAAACCAAAAACGTGAAGGCGAGTCGCCCAAGGAAAACCCTTATGAGGATGTGGAGCTGAAAGGCCGTCACGCGGGCCGAAAATCCCATCAGCTCTCCGAGAATTCCCTAGATTCTTTGCACAGGATGTGGACACCGCAGGACAGGAAATACACATCACCTCCCCAGGTAATGGCGTTACGGTGCCGGGCTTTCTGTGCTTGAAGCTTATTTAAAACTTCTGCAAGAAATCAATCATGGCATAGGAGGAAGAGCAGCCGTACTGAATGAGAGAGGGCATCTGGAAAAAGAGTGCGATCAAATGCCTAAAGAGTTACTGGGAATGCTCTTGGCAGCTGGGGCTCGGCTTCTCAACACCGCGCTGCAGAAGCTGATGGTGCTCTGTGCTGGCTATGACCTGATGAGTTTAAGCAGAATCCTTCCACCAGTTGTTTGTGAGCTGAATCTGGCCCTAAATTATTTGTATGGCTGCACCTCCTTGTGAATTGCCTCTGCCTTTGCTGCTGGGCCTTTATTAGCGACGGGAGGGGAACATGTCAGCTGCCTAATCCTGCCCATGTACCGTTACGAGAGGCCTGTTGTGACTCTGGACATGTGCAGTACATAGCGTGGCACGTTTTACTGTACAATGGAGAAGGCCAAGTATGCCCCCCCATATATTAATGAATAACAAAATAATCAGAAAAACCTGAGTGTCTGCCTTTAACAAGGCTGTATAACTTGTGTTTACAGCATAAAGTAAAAGACCAGGAACTCTGCAGACTTTCCATTTTGTGGTGAATTTTCCAAAGCAGTCTGTTTTCGTGAACACTATGAAATGCCGTGTTGCTTTATTGTTTATGGGACCATTGTGTTCACAAGGAAAAACATAAATTTCATCACATACTTAATTTTGAGATCCAAAATGCCTTGTAGAGGAACTTTGTTTTGCACTGATTCAACGGAAAATTTGCAGTTGAACAAAAAGTCACAATTTGCACTTCGGTTTTGTAAAGAGACTTAGGACAAAAGAAACTATATTTTATTTCACTTATTTTGTGTAAGTATCACAGTCCAAGAGACAAAACGAGTTTCACCAGGATTCTTAGTATGCACCTAGCACATCACTTGGAAAACAGGAATGTTTTCAGCAAAGTTACTGAAAAGGGAACAAGTGGAAAGTAGTAATCAGGCACAGTAAGGAGAAACAGAAACTGCAGCCACGAAGATAACCTTGTAGTGAGAGACATACCATGCATAAGAATTATTTTTGACTCTGCGTGTGTTAAGAGGAATTGTGGAGCATATAGAGGATCCAGCAGGGTGTACCATTAGGAACCATATAGTAAGACAGTAAGAGACTGTCCACTGTTCCTACACAGGGTGACTGACTGAAGAATATGCAGATTAAAATGATTTCTGTAAAGCTGCTCAGTAAATAAGTACTCTCTGGTATCTTTGCAACAGGGCTATCTTTATTCTGGTAGCTTCTTTTTGAAATGCTGCCAGCAGTTTCCTGCCAGGAGTCAGTCCTGCCGTAATTGCATTATCATTGTGCTGATATATAAAGTGAAGAGACACTAAAAGCAGGTCAGCTGTGGGCCTGGGTAATTCTCCAATGACCAGAAATAGAAAAGTCTCAGTTTCCTGAAGAATGGCAGCTTTGGCAATGATTTATCACCCAGTTTTTCCAGCATAGCAACATAGCTGGATTAGCAACATGACTTTTCAGTCATGGATGATGATAAACAAGATGGAAGAGATCAGAAGGTCAGCAGGCTTTCAACAATCATTTCCAAAAAGAATTCCCTTCATTAGAGTATAGACTGCTGCAGATTTTCCTGGCATGCTAACCTGTGGTAAGCAGAGACCTCAGAAACACTGGCTTGTGGTCATTTTGAATCCCACCCTGTCTTCTCCTTTCTCATTCATTACTTTCAGGTTTTGAAGTCCTCAGATATAAAAAGAATTTTTTATTGAGGGCGTTGTACTTGTGATGCAAGACCCTCACATACAGAAACATCTATGCTTAATCCCAGATAGTATGGCACCGTAAGCCCTGCAAGAAGAACTAATGGGACATTTGTTACTGCAAGTTTATAGCTCGTAATACTGCTAATAGAATATTAGCAAATGCAAATCGACAACTGTTTGACATAGCAGTACTTTTTTCTAGACTTGCTGGTTAAGCTTCTTACAGTGTTTGTTTCTGGGAGGAGAAGGCAGGGACCCAGCGTTGCCAGCCTGCAGATTAGCGATCCTGAGAGCTGGGCAGAGCTGCTTAAAGGACTGCTCCAGAAGACCCCTGCTTTTTAAAGATGGCTGTTACTTTGTACTTAATCCTCTCAGTGAGATTTTCCCTTCCCCCTGCAATGATAACAGTTTTGTGTTTTAAAGGGAATTCTTGGGAAATGGAGAACAAAGCTGTAACTGCCTCTGCACTCTGGCAGATCTCAAAACTTCTTAACACCAGGGAAATACAGCAAGCTTGATTTTCTACTTTCTTTCTCTAGAATAAAATAGCCACTTCAGTGTAATTGCTCTTGATTTTCTCTACTGGAAGTTAAAGAGACAGATCAAGCCCACTGGGTCAGTGTTCTGATGTCAGCCAAGTCTTTAAGTCAGGTTTGAAGGCTTATAGAGTTGATGTGATGTGGGTGCACAGAAATGCCCCAAAGCCAAAAGTACTATTGTTTTGTCTAGACTTTAAAGTCTTAGGTATTGACCCCTGTCTCTTCGTTTTGACCATAAACCCTCTCTTCACACATATACCACAGAGCAGTGGCTCACCTGGCGTGATGTCCTTGTGTAGCCACCACTCACTCACTCACAAAGGGCTGTTTCTGTACTAAGTCTTGCTGAGGAGGGGAAGAGATGAAGCTGTTCTTCTTCCTGCAGGTCCCTTCGAAGCCCGGCAGCCAGTCTCTGCGCATCGGGAACTGGTCAGAAAGGAAGAGCCACCGCTTGCCACGGCTGCCCAAGCGGCACAGCCACGATGACATGCTGCTGCTGGCCCAGCTTGGCATTCCCTCCTCCCCTTCCAGCCTCAATGAGGACAGCCTGAGTACCACAAGCGAGCTGCTGTCTACACGGCGGGCTAGGAGGATCCCAAAGGTACGGGCAGGGTGATCAGGCTTTTGCTGAGGATAGGTCACCTGTCTGCAAGGGCTTGCAAGTTTCTATCCAGCCTTTAGACATCAATGAAAGCTCTTTTTGTATCCTAAGGGAAAATTGAACAGAAAACAGTAACTCTCAGGAACCAAGACATACTCCATTTTTACATGTAGCTGTACTGTGAAAATCCCTTCCCTAGAAGTGAGTGACTCTGCCCTGGGTCAAGAGTAGCAAACATCTGATTGCCATCTTTGCACAGAGCTGATTTTAAGCCAGTTCTGGTTTCCACACTTTTCTTTAAGCCCTGTGGGCCTGAGCATTGTCATGTACCTAACGTTATGATTTGGAATGGATGATGGTCAAGCAATTATCATTTATAACATGCAGCAGCATCTGAAGTGGGTTTTTCACCGTAATTTGTTTACTGGTCTCAGGAAAATAACTATTATTGGCCTAATATGTTTCCCTTTATTTATTTGCAACCTACCCCATCCTGATAACCCTGTTGTCTTGATGGATTTGTAGTAAAAATTAAATTGCCATTTTTCAAGGAGTTTTCCAATTCAAAATGGGATGTGAAAAAAACCCAAGCCACCAAATCCCCCCAAAAAAACCCAACAAACCTTTTCTAGTACAATAGCTACAGAGAGGGGAGAACTGCCAGTATATTTATGTTTGGCTTGTGAACAAAGTAGACTTTTACGGTGTATTCAGCTCTTTCCTGTTCTTATTAGGGAGCACATTTTAAAGTACATGGCTGTAAATACTGTGAGTGGATGGAAATTTTTATGTTCCTGTCAATTAGTCTGAAATTCTGTCTAAGCAGGAAACAAACAAAACAGAGGAAATTAATCCCATGTTCTTAATATTTACTATATTTTTGCTTTCTTGGAATATACTGGTTTACTGCACAAATGAGCATATATCTGTGAAGGAAGTTAAAGAGTAACTTACAGAGTAGCTTACTACGTGGTTTTGAGTAAAACCTGAGAAGTTTGGCTGTCAGTTCTGTACCAAACTTTCTTTTTTTTTTTTATTTAAGGGACAGACATTATCCTTATATGAAATCGTGTTTGCAGCATATGAATGTTCATATTTTTATCATAAATCTTGTGATGATTTCTGATTTTGACCACTCTAGCTCCTAGAGTCTCATATTAACTGGAGAATCTCAGGTTTTATTGAGGAACTGTAAGTTATTAGAGGCAAAAACTCCAACCTGAGTAACTCCTGTTCTGTACCACCACCACTGATGCTTTGTGAAGCACCATCCAAATGCTTTAGACATCTGGGCACTCCTCGCCACAGTGCAGGTATTTTACCCCTGGTGAAGTAGCTCAGGCAGACAAAATGCCAAGCAGCACAGCGAGGGGAGTGAAAAGTCCCAGCAAGGCCCCTCACTGCCGGTTCCTGATGGTTTGGTGCTTACGTGCAGGGTTTCTAGGCTGTCAGATGCACTGGAGCCAGGCAGGATCCCATCCTGTTGGCTCTGCCGTGGTGCTGCGCAGATTCCCAGCGGGCAGAGCTGGCCGCACGGCTGCGAGCAGGGAAGTTCCAGCTGAGCCTTGCTGGTGGGTTGCACAGGGCTCCACCAGCGTGTGGAGGCAAAACACCTAATGCTGCTTCAAAAGGGAGAACAGGCGAGGATTTTAACACTGCAGACTGTCTGTTCTGGGCCAGACCCTCATCCTCTGTTGTGGGGGCTGCATGAGTCTGTGTTCCAACCTCTGCTCTGTTACTGACTTTCTGTGGTGCCTATGGAGAATTAGTTTCTCTCACCGAGTTTATTTCTCTCTGAAAGCTGAGGTAAAACAGATTTTACAAAATGTGTTGTAGTTCTATGAGTACAGCTGCTATGGAACGAAGTATACTATTCCTAGCTCATAAAAACATTATGAAGATTAATTGCTACATAATTATGACTATCCAGAAGTTATAATATTCCATTTAACTACAAATTCTTAGTAATCCCAACTTCTTGTTGAAGGCACTAAACACATTATCTCATTAATATTTTCCATCATCTCAGATTTTTTTTTTAATAGGCTGTTATTACCTGCATTAGCCCTCCTGAGGGAAGTCATAAAGGGGACTACCAGGATTTAAAATTCAGGCTAGCGCTGGTTAAAGCTAGCTAAATCCAGTACAGGTAGCTAACGTCAAGACACTGTTGTAGATAAGGATAAAATTGGAGACAGTAGATACAGGGCTCTGAAGTAAGGTAACTACAGCATGAGTTGGAAGGGGGAGAAAGGAAAAGTCCGTATGGGCCAAGTCCTCAGCTGATACGATACGGCTTCAAAGGCACTGGTTCACTCTGTACCTGAAAAGGCCATCTCCTTCTGTGCTTATTTCAACACACTAAAATCTCAGTCCAGAGAAGTGCTAACAGACATGTTACTCTTATGTTCAAAATAAGAATATGATTTTTAAGGTCTATGAGAGTCTGGCAAAGTTTGGTATGGCTAATGGATCACTGTTACTTGTACAATGCAAGTGGAGAGAGAAATAATAGCACAGAGAGAGGGGAATGAGGTGGTAGGGGATAACAGCTGCCTTTGAATGCTCAGGATACTTGTGCTGCTGTTGCAAGTGTCTACATGATTTTTGAAAACGGGATTTAGGTTTCAGTTATTTAATTATTTTTTAAAATATATCCATAGGTAGTAGGATGAGATTCAGAATAAGTGATTCAAACAAATGGGATTCAAAATAAGAGAGAGAAGAAATGTACTTTGAAATAGTAAAGGCTTTGGGGGTGCAGCTGGCCTATCATCCACGGTCAAATTCTTTGTTTGGATAGATTAATTAAAAGTCCCCTGCAGAAAAGTGCTCTTCCTTACTGATTCCTCATTTGCTTATTTGGCAGCTTGTCCAGCGAATCAATTCCATCTACAGTGCTAAAAGAGGAAAAAAGCGATTGAAGAAACTTTCTATGTCCAATATTGAGACAGCATCCCTACGAGGTATGACACAAGCATCACAGTTCAGTGAACCCATCTGCATGCTACAGGATTAACAGACTCCCTTCACATCTACCCTGGGCTCTACTTTGCTTAGAGCTTTCTCCTGTGAACAATGATAACTTTGTGTCTTCAAAAGGAGAAAATGGGGATGAGCTAAAAATAAATGAGATTCTCAGCATTGTCTATCTATCCTATTAATCCCACGATCAGCTAGACTTACCCAGCTTCTTCTGTAGTTCACTTCTTGAGTAATTTGCATCTGTGCCTTTTGTCCAAAATTCACAGTTTTGACCTTGTAATTCATTCATGTTTTTTCCTGGCTTGTGAATATATCACACTGTGCTTCAGACTGCTTCTGGAAGAGCAGGGGCCAAAAAGAAATTCAGGCCATGTTTGCAGTAGGAGCACAATAGAGCTTTAATATGAGTACAACTCAGAAATACCTTTTATCGTAGGGTTGCTTTTGTGTGTTACTCAGTTTGGTGAGTTCTGGTGATTGAAAATGTTGCCCAGACAGACAAAGCTCATAAGACTTGCTTTATCATCTGAAGTGCTGCATAGCTTTATTTAAAAAAAAAATAAAGTCCGAAAAAGATGTGGAAGGGTTAGAATCCATTTTCTACAGTCACCTCTGTAGCTTAGCATAGATGGGGGTTCAGTACAACCAATTGCAGTAATGGAGAATGAATTTTGCACTTTCATCAAAATGATACTCTTGTTCTCAAGCGAAACTGAAACTTAATCCAAGGAAAACACAACCTAAGGAGTCATTCAAACTGTTTATTTCAAGACATTTTAAAACTGAGTAGAGAGCATGCATGGATCACAAGGCTCAGTGTGAGATACGATTTTTCCAGTTTCACCACAGTTAACCAAGTTTATGTTTGCTTTGCTTTTGCATTAACTGACCCATCTATCTCCTCTGCAGATGAGAACAGCGAGAGTGAGAGTGACTCAGATGACAGGTTTAAAGGTAAGGGATCAGCCTTCAATAACTTCTAGTCGGACACTGTGACAGACCTTATCAATGTACATCCTCCTGCTACTGCATGGTTTTCCTGTCCATATTTTCCATCCTGAGCTATGCTAACTCCATTACTGCAGAGCTCACAAAGTTTCCAACACAGGAGCATAATTGTGGAAAGGAAGGACAAAATGAGCTGTGAGGATCTAACATGGATTTGGCAACTGTGTCATATAATGAAGAACAGGACCTTTGATAGATTTACTTTGTCAGCAACTTCACAAATGCTGATGTTTTCCAGACTGACTACTAGGTGCAGACTTAGAGGGGAGATTGGATAAATATGCTCTCTTCTTATTCATACACTGCTTTAAGTGTTTACTGCTACCTGCTGTTGGAGGCAAGGTTCTGGGTCTGCTCCACTGTGGCAGTTCTTACACTCTTTTGTAGGTCTGCAATCTCCAAATTGTAGAAATTCCTTTATCAGTGCAAAGCACCTGCACAAACTCTGCTTGAGCCAGGCCAGTAAATTAGTCCCTGATTTTCAAGAGTCCTGATACAAAGAGCTGTAAAAAAGTTGAAGGCAGGAACAACAGATTTTATTACTAAAAATCTATCATGTTGTTAGTAAGTGAGGGGAAAAAAACCCCAAGAGTGGGAACTGTGGTTTTGAGGGGCAAGCATTCATGTCTGTCTGCTGCAGATGTCCCCGGCTTGCTGTTTATGCAGGAAAACTTGCTGGAAAAAATTGTCTTAGGGGAAAAAGATTTGTTCCAGATAGGTAGTGCTAAGACCACCCAAAACAGGCTGTATGCAACGTGGTACAGTGGTGTGTGGAAAAAGACTCATTGCTCCTTTGTAGACGGGTACCAGCCCAAAAGCACTTTCAGTTCTGTGTCTCTTTGTGTCAAAAAAAATATAGGGGTTGCTTTTACTCGTAGCACATGAAAGAAGACAGGCAGGGTCTGGTCTCTCTCTTGCTATTGGGAGGATATTCTGATTTCACTGGAAACTGGGAAGCGTTTTCCCCCATTGTTGTGGAATGGAGGACCTCCATTCTGATGGCTCCCTAGCTGACTGCTCCTGTGTCACCTTCTACTTACGTTGATGCTCTTAGGGCATCCTGAGCCAAAGATCCAGTTGTCATGTGTAGCATGACAAGGTTCAGTGAGTCCCCATCTGTTGGGGTGGGATGGGCTCTTTGGTTTCACCTCTTGCAAACATGAAGCACTGGTGGGCAGTGTGGGGCTGTCTTAAGGCAGGACAAGGCAGGTTACTTCTTGCACAACTAGGGAAGCTAAATCCCAAGTGCTTTACCAAAATAATTTTTAATGTTTGTGTTGTTGAACCAGTCCTGTGACTGCTGGTCATCAAGGAGTTTCCCTTTCCTTCTGTCAATTAATTACTGCTGTAATCAAGTGCTCATGACATCTTATTTCCCTACCACAAGGGACAGTCTGCCTTTTGCAAACTGTGGGCAGTGTCAGTGAATACAGCCTTAAGGAACTGACATGTGCTGCTAATAATCCATTTGCCATTGCACAGAGATCCTGATGTGAAGAGGTGGGGAAAAGCATGCAGAATGTTGATTCTACATAGCTGTTTTCACTTAGTGCTGTACCAGAACTGGTAATGATGTTCCTGAGTAGTCTGCCATAGATGTCTAGTGACTGGATCAAGGCATATCTTTGAATCAGGACTGGATGTGACCAGGAGTCTAAGATTGCCCCTCAGTTGAATTGGCATGAGCAAAGCAATCCCACAGGAGGCAATCTGCACCTCTTTCCTTTCCTTCCCCCTTCCCTGGAGATCATTCCATGGCTTGTGTGGACAATGCCTGTGCTGTAGAGGAGAAAATACACCTTTGGTGGTTCTTAGCATATTTTTCACCAATGTAAGCCAGGTCCAATTCAAGCCTGAGATGTGTCACCCTGAAGGCCCTCGTGCATTTGCACACCCACATAGGGACTTATAATCTAGTTTTACATGTGAAGAAGAAGCAGACCTTTGGCAGGGTAACAGTTATGAACTGCAAATTATTTCAGTGACTTACTGTTGCATCACTTCAGTACTTGGAGAGAGTTTTGATTTATGGGTGTAATTAGTGAGGGAGACTATGGTATGAAGGGCTGCTTTTGAAAGAAGAACATGCTTGGAATAATATGCTGGCAAACTGAAAGTCCTTTGTGAATGGCTGTGGCTTACACATAGATGTTACAGTCCCAGGTAATGATCTATGTCTCTCTCTTTCTTTTTCTTTAATGCTAGCTCATACCCAGCGTCTAGTACACATCCAGTCAATGCTGAAGAGGGCTCCAAGTTATCGAACCCTGGAGCTGGAGCTGATTGAGTGGCAGGAACGGGAGTTATTTGAGTATTTTGTGGTAGTGTCACTGAAAAAGAAGCCTTCTAAAAACACTTACCTCCCAGAAGTGACATACCAGTTTCCCAAGGTAAACCAAAAATTCTTACATACATTTCATTCTAAGATCAATAAAGTGAATAAGTGGGAGGATTAACAGACATCTATTTTTTAAATGGAGTTAATGATTTGGCTTTCATAATTTTTCCAAAGTGATCTGTTACAAAGTGAAGGGCATACAGAAAGTGACTGAAAGCTTTCCCTGTTTACAAATTTATCTTTTCCAGTGCTGGTGATGGTAGGTGCTTTAAAGACTGTGTTTAACTTCAGTTTCTAAATGTTTCAATTCTAACTCATAAGATTTGTTCCAAAACTCACTGAAGTCGACGGGAAGACTTTTGCTGATCTATGGCATTTCTCTTATGCTTATAGAGCAGAAAGGAATTTGAGTTGGAACTGTGTTTTAAGTGGCCATTGTGCAACAAGAGAATTTCAGGCAATTAAGAAAAAATTAAAACCCAGCAGTGACTCTTTCTATTGTACTAGCATCTGTAAGCCTGTCCTGGGGTCATGCCTCACTCTGCCAAGCACTAATAAAAAGCAAGTTGATGTGCCCTTGCTCTTCAGAGCTCATTAGCAACCCTCTGCTCCTGAGAGGTGCTGTGAACTTGGCACTAACAGTAACCGACTGAACCTCATTTTTCTCCCCTGCAGCTAGAAAGACCAACCAAGCAAATGCGTGAAGCGGAGGAGCGGCTCAAGGCTATCCCTCAGTTCTGCTTTCCTGATGCCAAGGACTGGCTTCCCGTCTCTGAATACAACAGGTAAACCCTCTGGTGCTCCTCTGCTGCATGGACTGCAGAGTGCAACTGGAGCAGCCAGAGGCTCACTGATGCCCAATTAAGGAAGTAGAAGTTTGAGTCTTGGCCACTTCAGGCTCAAGCAGCTGTGTTCAATTTTTTTTAAGTTCTGTATTATTTTCTTCCCTATTCTGCTTGCCTTACAGGCCTGTGTGGCTGAGGGGAAGGTTTGAAGGTTCCTCTCAGTGCTAAACACAGAAGCATAAATGGGAGTATTTAAAGCAAATCTTAAAAAGGACAGGACCCTGCCCACCACCTCCCTTAGTCATTTACCACAGAACGCTTGTCTAACATGGCAGGACACCTCTTCATTTGTTCAATGCAATGCTGTTCTGAGAACCTTTTTGGAGCTGAGCTCTATGCCCACAGATGAGCCCTGTCTCTCTTCCCTTGGAGACGAATGACTACATAAGGGCAAAGAAAGGGAGAGCCAGGCTTGCATTTTCTTTTTCTTTCAAAAGGAGCCTCAGAAAATGTATCTTCCCCCCACTCCCCTGCATCAGTGTGTCAGAACCTGTTGATCTGAAGGTGTAGAAGTTGCAGAATAGGCAGAAGAGGTAGAATCATAGAATGGTTTGGATTGGAAAGGACCTTTAAAGGTCATCTAGTCCAGCCCTCATGCAATAAGCAGGGACACGTTCAACTAGTTCAAGTTGCTCAAAGTCCAGGCCAATGTGACCTTGAATGTTTCCAGGGATGGGGCATGTACAACCCCATGTCCTGTCATACAGACCCTACTAAAAAGTCTGTCCCCGTCTTTCTTAGAAGCCCCTTTTAAGTATTGAAAGGCCACAGTTAGGTTTCCCCAGAACCTTCTCTTCTCTGGGCCGAACAACCCCAACTCTCTCAGCCTTTCTTTATAGAAAAGCATTTTCTGTGGCCCTCCTCTGGACCAGCTCCGACAGTTCCATGTCTTTCTTGTACTGAGGACTCCAGCTGGATGCAGTACCCCAGGTGGGGTCTTCTGCTAGAATATGAGATAGCTTTTTAAGAAGCATGGTCTAAGATGGGTGTAAATGAAGTAAGACCTGTTCATTGTGTGTCTAGAGGGACTTCCAATGATGACAAGGAACTAGCATCCACCTGCAGGAATTACTATAGCCAAGAATCCATATGGAACTTTTTATTGGCTTGCATATGCAACATAACCATGTTATCTTGTGTGTTGCATGGCTGTGCTAGTCAGCATGTGGAAGCAGTTGAATAGTGAGTTATTGAAAAAACTGAAGGAGAAGCAGACAAGTGTGCTGGCAACATTGGTATGAGAAGCACACAGCCCTGCCTATACTGCATTTCAGCTCTTCTGCTGCTCTCTTAGGCAGACCTTTCATGAGCCCAAGTTTGTGAAACAAGATATCCCTCCTATATACAACTGCAATTATATAAACCCTGGCGTTCCAGCACAAAGAAAAAGTGTTTTATAAAATGCCATTTAAAACTTGCAAAGCAGACAGGAGTGTTTCTTGGTTCAGACACAAATTCATGGACCCTTTACCTGTGCTATAATTACAGCCTTAAACTGTTGTTTTACTTCTCTGTCACAAATGGTACTTATCCTAGACAGGGATATAAAATGAGCTCGATTTTGGAAATCTGTGTTCTTTATGGATTAGAAAATTATTTCTCTACTCTTAGAGAATATCTGAGGTTCTCCCTTTGAGAACAAAGCACAGTCCAAAGACAGGATCTGACTAAAAGGTAAGGGAGGTACAGCAGTTGAATACTGCCCTCAAGATCTGATTCCTGTGTTCCTTCTGCAGTACAAAGGAACTGCCATGTCACTGAAATCCAACACCCAGCTCTTATTATAATGAGATGGCTATGTTGTCCACACCATGCAGATAGTTTTGCTCTACTGCTGATGGAATTTGTCCACAGAGCACGTCCAGATGATGGGCAAAGGGAGTGAAGATCCTCCAGTGGGTAGAATCTCTCATTGGATAAGGCAGTGGCTCTTTCTAAATGATCTACCTCATAGCTATGCTGTAGTTCTGGTAGTAAGATCTGGCAATTTATTTTCTTCTAGTGAGACTTTCTCTTTCATGCTGACTGGGGAAGATGGGAGCCGGCGGTTTGGTTATTGCAGGAGGCTGTTGGTAAGTACATCACCTTCACCTCAAAATGCAGAATTCTGCTAAACAGTACCTCAAAACTACAGTCTGTACTTTGAAGGTGTCTCTCATGGTTTTAAAAGAAAATGGACTTACTCACTCTGAAATTTGGAAATATAAGGAGGTCAATCAAAATAAGAATTTGTAAGGGCTGTCTCAATCAAAGAGATCCCAAGTCTTGTAGGAAATTCGTAAGAATGTGGAAAGTTTCTTGTATCAGCACTTCCTTTTAAAATTCCTTATATTACATACTTTCAAGCAGAATCAGAAATACTATAACACTGCAAACAAAGGCCAATGTGGTATTTCTAAACATTTGTGAGTAGCATTTATCTCTTGGACAGCTGCTTATGTCTCCAAAGTACTCTGCCAGCACTGCCTAACCAGTCTGCAGCAGGTCTGTGATGAAGATAACTAACCCACTCTGTAGGAGAACAGGCCCCCATCACCATTTGCTCAGGACCATGCAATAAGCTGATGCCAGTGCTGGGAAGTCTAGGTTCCTAGGTTCCTTTTCAGTCCTCATGACCAGGGGTGGTCTACTGGTGGTGGGGGAAACCTGACTCAACCTACCAGTTTTGTCTCATCACCTGGAAAATCACTGGTTACCTGACAGATGTAGGGCATGTCAGTGTGTGTGTGTGTTGGGGGGAAACTGCACAAAGTCTTGCAAAGTGTATTAATGCAGGTGAAACACAGTGCAAACAGGGGTTCTGCTGGCAATCCTGCAGACCTGACTGGATGGCAGCAAAGCACAAAGCAGTTGGTTGTTCCTGCACTAACCTGTGCTCATCACCTCTGGGATAGGTTTGGAGCTGGTTGTGAGTGACGAGGTGGGGAGCCATGGCTGTCCTCATGACAGCTGCCTACACTTGGTTGAAGACCTTATTATTGGATGCTGCAAGAGCCTTTTGCGTACTCTCTGTGCAAAATGAATGTCTGCAGCAGCATTGCAAAATTGTAAATAGGTACCTATCTAAGAGAAAGAGGCACTGGCACTTTCCCCTCCCTTCCCTCTCTGGCATGATTTCCCATCTTTCCAAGCAGGGAGCACCTGCCTTCAGTACCTTTCAGTGGCTTCCAGTAGACAGAGCAACTCGCTGTCATTAGCACAGCACCCTCCATCCTGCGTTACTGCCTGCATCTGACCCTGCTCTTACCCTGCTCTTTGCCTATGGCAGTGCTCCTTGTCGTGCAGACAGCAGATGCTCTGTCTGGGAGGTATTGCTGTGTGTGGCTCCTCTATTTGTAAGAAGTTTCATTTAAACTAACATAACAGAAAACTTGTTTATCAATTCTGTGGGCGGTATTTGCCGTAGGTAGCATCGCAGAGACTCGCTTACTCTGTGTAAAGCAGTGTGTAAGTGTGGGCCACGGCAAGGTTTATAAGTGGAAAGGATATGTCAATGAAGGCTGGTGTTGCAGTATATCTAGGGCTGGTCGGGGGCTGTTTCAGAGATAAACAAGTGGATCACCTAGAAGGTAGCCTTCCTGGTGCAAATAAGCGTAAAAAGATAAAGGGCAGCAATACAGTTCAATTACTTTTTAATGTGTTGTCATTTAAAAGAATAATAAGGTAGATGTGGAAAAAAGTAACACCTCAGAAAATGTTGGCTAGAATGAAATTAAGGAATGTTTTCACTCTAGCAGGTAAAGGTGGTTTAAGACATATTTTTGGTAATGTTAGAAAGTTTGCAATCATGCACAGAGCTTACATTTGTGAAATGCAAAACAGTTGATCCTAGACAAGGCCAAGACTGAAATAATCAGCCACACTAAAGAAAGATGTATACACAGGAATGCTGGATTAGTTTGTCAGTGAAGGATTAATGTAGGTTTCTTTTACTCGCTTAACTCTCAGTGAAATCCACTGTACATTAAAGGCAATGTAAAAACAGAACGCTGACTTTCAGCTGGCACAGAAGATAGGTGAGCACAGTAGAAAATACTGGGAACAGAACTGAATCAATACTACACGCACTTTTATATAAATGGTGCTTTGAGACAGCATTGGAGGTTTTTGTTATCCTTCATTGACTATGGCAAAAATCAATCAACCAGACAGCAAAAAGAAATTTTAAAAAGGTAAAAATTAGTACTGTCTTGCTAAATATATCTAATAATTGTAAATCCAGTTATAAAGCTGATCTATTTCTGCCCTGGGAGATCGCTTAATTCAGGATGTTTCATCTGGTTTCTATAAATACATTGGCAACAAAAGG